GTAAACACATCTGTGCAACTCAGAACACCTCCTTCTTTACTACAATTCTGTATGCTGGGGTTCAAAATAAAGACCAAGGTATACTGCTGTTAAAAGCTAGTTCTCAGACTAGATGAAGTCTGGCATTTCATTTCTGATCTAGGATTGGCTCTCAGGGTGTTTATCCACTTCTCTCCTTTTGAGCTCTTGACCCATCCACCCCCTACCCCCCACCCCCCCCCCCCCCCCCGCACCTCCTGAAACAGGATTTCATTGTGTAGGGATATCTGCCTGGATCTCCTTATATACATCAGGCTGGCCTCAATGGCACAGAGATGGAACTGCTTCTGCCTCACAAACACTGGGATTAAACAGGTCTGCTCCAACATTCTTAGCAAACCTAATCTTAAGTGGTTTTATTTCTTTTAACATTGTGAAGTAACACGTGAGGAAAACAACATTTATATAAAGAAAGTCCCCTATGACCAAACTCAGAGTTACTGCAATTACTCATATGGGCTTGAGCAGAAATGGTTTTCTGTACAATGTCCTTTCCAATTCTTTTTCCAGTAGGTTATTTTTATGTTTGTCCTTCATTTAAATGGTTAAATGTCTTGTTCACTCTCAAATCAGACTAGGATTCTGAGTTTCAAAATTAGAAATAAAGTACCACCTCACCATGACATTTTGTCAAGACACAGGATACACACAAATGACTGATTACTTTAGCCAGTCCTAACCAAGAGAATGCTGTCAAGTATGTCCACTGAGAAATTAATGGTATCTTCCCTTTTCTAATTTATCAGTTTGGTGATACCTAGTTTGAAGTGGGATACTAAAGAAGGTCCAAAGTGGAGTAATTGGGTAGCTGGGAGGGATTAAAGGGAAGGGATTGAAGGGAAGCCGCACATATTTTATGTAGAAGTATCCTACAAAGAATATTTGTATCTTTCCCTCACTTGCTTATTTATCACTTACTTGTATCACTAGGAATTTTATGTTATTTTGGGTTATGATTCAAAACTACATTATTTACCGTCACTGTTATTATTCTAGATTTGGATACTGGGAGAAAATTTAGATTTACCCTTGTGTTCATATGAAACATCCCTATCGTTTTGCTTGGATATCTTGATAATATTCTGTCACTACAAGACAACTCAGTCTAATTTTATAATTTGCCTGCCCGACTCTGGATTTAATTATGTAATAAAGAAACCTAAGTATCTATTACTGGATAATATCCAGGACATATCAGCAGGAAGCTAAGCCTCCACTCCCTCCTTCTAGCAACGAGACAGCCATTATGAGACGGACCCAGTAGGTCCATGGAGACCTGAACTTCCCCTCATCAAACAACAGCAAAAGGTCTGGAATGGCCTACTCCTTCTTTCCATCTATTAAATGTGGCACAATGTGGGTGGGGCTTAATTTTATACCTTGCTTACAGGTAAATAGGCTGTGCAAATCTGTGTCCCTTTTGTGAGATAAAGGCTACAGAGCTATGATGAAAGAGATCTGCATTTTTACCTTAGGTCTTCAAATTACTTTATCATGTCATACCGATAACCAGGGAAATTCTAATATGAATTAGAAAAGTCAGTCAACAATTGAACAAACATGCACACTGAGGTGAGGTTGTTTGGAAGTTAACAGATACTATAGCCTTACAAAATGGACAACCCCCATAAGTCTGCTTTTATATAACGATATTATCATATAATCTTTAAGGTTATCTGTACTTTTTTTGGTTACTAGCCCAATTTATTCCTTATGTCTCTAAAGCTAGCTAGTAATTAATTAGACTGGAAATTTTTAATTTAAATGATCATGTTGTGTTTTCCTTCTGGTTGTATCTTAACTTTATAGACATGACAATAGTTGTGTAAAGGTCTTCTCTTGAGACCTTTAAAATAAACCAGATTATGGTCATGATTCCTCTGAAATGGAGGAAAAGATAGGACTAGAAGAATTTCTAAGTTTTGGGCAGATGTTTGACAAAGAGATATTATAGAATATTTGGCTTTCATTAAAGTGACTGAGTGGCAACTAAGAGAACTTTGGTATGACAGAGCTACATAAAAAGAGCATGTGGTCTGTTAAATATTGTAACGCAACATAAATATTAACAGCTCCTTTAATTGATGTCAGAAGATCCAGTTAAGGATCTGAGCTATTTTAAGTAATTTTATTGGATAGTCTGTTTCCTTGACCATGATTCAGTTCCTAGACTAAGTGCTTGGTAAGAGTGTTGCTGTAGACTGGTAGACTGCAGGGGTCTGGAAACCACACACAGTTATTTAACTGGACTTTTATCTACTTATTATAGCCTGCAGGTATTTAAAAGGATAAATTTCTTTATTTTTTTACATATATGAGTGTTTTGCCTGTGTGTGTGTGTGTTCAATATAAGCTGGTGCCCTCTGAAGTTAGAAGAGGGTATCAGATCCCCTAGAATTGGAGCTATGGATCGTTGTGAGTCACCATGTGGGTGTTGGGAACTGAACCTGTGATCTTGCGATAGCAAGAAGTAGTCTTAATCTCCGAGTCATCTCTCCAGCCATCACTTGGAGACATTTTTACATTAACAAGCAGAAATCTATTTCTTCTTTTTAATGATGATATCATATTTGCTGTATATGTATCAAATTTGTTTCATCAATCTAATTGATAAGACTATATCAGAGTGTTGGCTAGCAACAATGTGCAACACAGATTTGTTCATATATATGTATGGAACTGCCTCATTATCAGGGAAGAGAAATCCCTATAGGTGAGTCTGTAATCAGGTTATTGGAACTTTTCAGAGTACCCTAAAATCAATCTGTACTAATTTGGTTTCTACTGCAGCACTAAAGAGCCCAAACCCATCAGTTCCTAAGCCCTAGTCAAATCAAGGACACCAGATTTTAGTATTGATAAAAGTAGACAATATCCAAACATTAGTCTTAGCAAATGAATGAAGTCTAGTCATGTAACTATGGCTGGCTTAAAATTTCTTATGTAGAACAGGCTGGCCTTGAACTCACAGAAATTCTACCTCAGCCTCCCAAGTGCTGAGATTAAAGGCATGTACCATCAAACACAGCAGATAAAAAAATTTTAGGCCTAGGGCTTATTTTTTAAAATCAACTTTCTATTTTATTTCTATTTACATATTTATTTTCTTTCTACAATATTAAAGACTGAATGCAGGACCATGTGCAAACTAGGCAAGAGTTTACCACTGGTTCTATCCCAACCCTCAAAATCAGTTCTTTATAAAGTAAGAGCCATATAATGCTCACTGACACTTCTTCCTTAGGGATACATTTCCAAACGTTTTTATACTGGTGATAGACTGCCCTAATGCACAACACTGTCAACACAAAGTTCCCAATTGCCCATAAATGAGATCAGAAGATAGTGGGCAAGTCATTTGTATATGAGATGAAGAGGCAGGCCCATGTTATTTCTATAACTTCCATACAATCTACTGTCCTAGCCTACACCATGACACCTGTTCATGGACAGAGAGAGATTCTGGTATTCAAGCACAGTCCAATATTCTATAACTCTGTACTCCAGCTCTCAGATTCTCATTCTGTCTGTTCCTGGCTCTGTCCAGAGAATCCCGACACATGGTATCCTTTCTAGCACCTAGCTCTAGGACACCCAGCCAAGGCTTACCTAGCCACCAAAACCAACAGACAAAGAACCTGCTATCAATGTCAATATTAGTTATTTGTGACAATTACCTCATACTCTCTAAGGACTCAATGACCAGCACTGTGAACTAGGAATTTACCTGAGGGTCTTTGGCCTTTAATTCTGTGTCAACAATAGAAACAGACTGAACATTTCTGGTCAGAAAAGGCTCATCAAACTCAGTCCATGTGTAATCTCCAAACACAATGTTATGCCTGTTGAGCAGTTTGTGAACACTCAGCTTTATGTCTTCTCTTTTCGCAGTACTAGAAAAATAAAACATGCATAAAATATCTTAGTTAAAAAACAAAACAAAACATTAAAGTTCAGCCAGGAGTGGTGTGGTATGCCTGAAATCCCAGTATGCAGGAGGCTGAGACAAGAGAACTTGTTTCAAATTTTAAAAACAACAAAAAGCAAAAACCAACCACACACACAAACCTTCAGACTTCCCACTTACGAAAGCCATTAGTCAAGATGAGGACTGGCAGTCTAGGGATCAAGTGTGCAGGCTACCCTCAGCTCCTCATTAGAAAAAGGAGGTGACACTAGCTCTTGGCACTGTCACTATTAAGAGTAATCAAAAATTCAGTGCTTGGGACAAGCCTGAAACACAATGAGCATCCGATCTATGTTAGCAGCCATTGTTATGGAAAGGATGAAAGTGCATAGCTGTAGGGTCTAACTCTGAGTCTGTCTATCTTTTGTAACAGGAATTCTACCGCCAGATACAGGTTTAGTAAACTAAACACTTATTTGCCCCCTTGCTCTATTGACATGCCACTGTCTTGTACTCGACTGCCTGGAGATCACTGTCCCTCAGCAGGTGGAATCTCGTGCAGGGCAAAGTAGGCTCTTGTTATTCGGGTCGCGTGCTACTGGCTGGGTTAAAGTCAGGCTGCCCGTGCTATGTGAAGTGCGGTCATGCCGAGGACGTGAGATGCTGTGTTGGATGGGATCCTGAGAGGTGGGGTAAGGTAGTGCCGTTCGCAGGCACGCGCGGTGGGGTCGGGCCAGGTCGCGCCCCGCGTGGTCGGACCCCGCATAGCTCACCTGCTGCTGCGCTGCAAAACCTCCACATGCACCGCGGGCGACTCCACAACACAGGGAAGCGCTTGCTTCAGGTCGCCCACAGCCTCGTCCATGGCGCCGCCGCCGGGAGCCGAGGGAACGCGGCCGCCCCACGCCCGGTGGGACAACCTCCTCAGCTGTACGACGGTGCACCCTGCCTGGGCCCGGGCTCGATCCACTTCCGCCGCCCGCGCCGCGCCGCACCGAGCCTCCAACCGGCCCCGCCCCGCCCGGCCCGGCCGTGCTTCGAATCTGCCGCGCACTAAGCACCGCCCCCGACCCGGAAGTACTCAGCGGTGGCGGAGGAGCCACTTCCGACTGGCGCAGATCGGGCTGCGGGCAGCCGCTTCTCCCCCGATCCGCTGCGATCGCAGCCATGGGCAAGAAGCACAAGAAGCACAAGGCGGAGTGGCGCTCGTCGTACGAAGGTGCGGAGCCCGCGGGCGGGGCCCAGGCTGCGGGGACTGGCGGGGGGGGGGGAAACGGTGTTCCAGGGGAAGGGCGTGGTCTGCGCTGGGCGGGGTTGTGGAGGAGGTGCCTGAGGCGGGCGGGTCCCTTGAGAGGGAGGGGCTTAAAGCTGGGTCGCGGACATTCGTGGGAGGGGGCGGGGGCATCAGCGGCTTTTCCTGGTTCACAGGAAGAGGCCATGGGCATCTCGAGTCCTGTAGCCTCTGTGGACCTCCTGCCTGGCACCAGGAAGACCTACAGCAAAAAAGAGGGGCTTCCGCAAAGGAACTGGGGTCTGGGGTCTCAGGTCGGGGTGATGTACTTTCTCCTGGTAGGAAGGATCCCCGGAGTAGCCTCAGTGGTGATTTTGTGGTTTGATAGAGGACCTGAACACAGTCCTGCTAGTCCGAGAGTCCCCGTGGTTTTGACAACTCCTTACTGTCTAGACTCACCTAGGGTGCCACCTACCATAGTGACACCCACAGGGGTGCGGTAGCCCCCCCCCCTCAGAATTTTGCAAGTTTGACTCACGGTCTGTGTGCAGATTACACAGACACACCACTGGAGAAGCCTCTGAAACTGGTGCTCAAGGTGGGAGGAAGTGAAGTGACAGAGCTCTCAGGATCTGGCCACGACTCCAGCTACTATGATGATAGGTCAGACCATGAGCGCGAGAGACACAGAGAAAAGAAGAAGAAAAAGAAGAAGAAGTCAGAGAAGGAGAAGCACCTCGATGAGGAGGAGAGGAGAAAGCGGAAGGTAAAGGTGCAATGACCTGGCCATAGCTGGGCTCCCGGGGCAGGGCATCTTTGGCTGATGCCTACAGAGTGTCGGGAATGGGTCTTCTTCCCAGTCTGCGGAAGGCAGAGGTGTGCAGGGCCTACCGTACTGATCTGAAAGAGCTCCCGCAGTCCTGTGGCCTCTGTTCTTTGATACTCATAGGAAGAGAAGAAACGGAAGCGGGAGAAGGAGCACTGCGACTCCGAGGGAGAGGCTGATGCCTTTGACCCTGGAAAGAAGGTGGAGGTGGAGCCACCCCCAGATCGACCAGTGAGAGCCTGCCGAACACAGCCAGGCAAGACTGTCCCTGGACGTTTTCTGTTTTGTCTGTAGCATGGCTATCCACTTGTTGGGGGCATTTAGTAACAGAAGCACAGATGCCATAGACACCAACCATATGTATGTGTCACACAAACCCCATAATATTGTTTGTTTTTGAGACAGGGTTTCTCTGTGTAGTCCTGGCTGTCTTAGAACTAGCTCTAGAGACCAGGGTGGCCTCAAACTCAGAGATCCGCCTGCCTCTGCCTCCTGAGTGCTGGGATTAAAGGTGTGTGCCGCCACCACCCAGCTTACAGTATTTCTTTTTTTAAAATCTGGTTAAAGCTTGCCAATATTTAGTCTAGAAGTTTGGCTTTATTTGCTTTACTGTTCCAAACAGCACCATCAGTTTAATAGCCTTTCATGAGTCACATAAGACACACATATGGAAACATGGGAATTCTCCTTGGGAGAATTCTTCTTGGGAAGAAGAGACCCCAACACAGGCTCTCATGGTAGGTCTGGAGTTATTTAAAGTGACCTCAAAATGACATGTAGGAAGCTAGAGGTCTTTGATAAATTTCTCACCTGGGGCTGCCCGTGCATGCCAGGGATGACATTACATGGAGTCTCAGTCTTGGCTCTTGGATTCCCTGGCTCCCAGACTTCCTGTATAGGACTCCAAGGTTTCCGTTTCTAGGCAAGAATATGTCTTCCTACGTGGAGAGAAACTGAAGAGGCTGGGTGTCAGAACATGGGTTATCAGGAAAGCTAATATTAGAATCAGATTGAGATGGCTACAAAAGAAGTGATAGGAAGAATTTCATTGTTCTTCTGCAGATCTGACAATCCCCAAATTATCAAGGCTCCTTGAGATAACCATTGTAGTCCTTGTGGGAAAGGGTGCTATTTGTTAGTAACTCGCATCCCTGAGCAGCTCACTATCATAGTAAATTTCCAGGAAACAACAGTCAGGGCTGTCTTCAAATTGGCACAGCTGCTGACCTTAGTGAATCTGAAGGACACAGTGCAGTCACTGTGAGATTAGTGCTGCTTTGCACATACCCTGGGCAGTCAGGAAGATTGCTGTCAGGCTGACTGTGAGCTCAGAGACTCAGCAGATACCCACAGTCCTCAGGAGATCTGTGTGCATGCTGTGTCCTGACCAGGGAGTCCACATTTTTGCTTCCTCCATATCTTGTCTTGGGCACCAGACTGGATTGTGATGGGAACTGGAAGTAGCCTTATGGGACTTGAGACATGCCGCACCTGCCTGTGTTGAGGGAGCAGTGCCCCCAAGTTCTCAGTTCTTGCTTGGCCTTCAGTTCCACAAGCAGATGGATATGGAGATCTCTACTGAGGGAAATGAAGTCTTGCTGTTTGATTTTATTTCCTTGCTTTCTCTTTATAAACTCAGCTGAGAATGAGAGCACACCCATCCAGAGGCTCCTGGAGCACTTCCTTCGCCAGCTACAGAGGTAACCCCGTGTCCCGCCTGTCATCGTCATCCATGAGACAGATGCCTCGTCTTCTCTAGGTGCTCTAAACCCCATGCTCCACCTCCTGCCTCTCCAGGACACTCCCCGCACTTCCTCCCCATCTTGAGACACTTTGAACCCTGAATTTCACCCAGTGTCACCACAAGATGTGTGACAGTTTGCCTTTTCTAGGCATTCCCAATCTAGCAGTGTGGACAAACAGGGTGCAGGCCACAACTTTAGGGCCAGGGAGATCATATGCTGTGTTCCAACCTGTCCCATCTGAAGTTGGTGTTGTGGTGCTGCCTCCAGAGCATTGCCTGTTAGGGATAGAGCTGGGACAGTGTCATTTTTGTTGTATGTAAAATATAAGTTACAACTTTTAAAAGGCATATATGTTTTTCCACTGAAGTTTTAAAACAATTTAAAATTTAGCTATATAAATTTGTGGATTGTAAAAATGTTTATGTCACTTAGAAATTCAGACTTTAGAATTTGTTCACTTCGAAGATATCTTTGCTTTCAGAAAAGATCCTCATGGATTTTTTGCTTTTCCTGTCACGGATGCAATTGCTCCTGGGTATTCGATGATAATAAAACATCCCATGGACTTTGGCACAATGAAAGACAAGATTGTAGCTAATGAATATAAATCGGTCACGGAATTTAAGGTAAATGAGTTTTACTTCTTGAAATAATGTTTGCAAAATGTGTGTATGTGCATGTGTGTGGGTGTGCTTGTGCCCACTCGCATATTGAACGCTGTGTATGTGCTTCAAGTCATTTTTTAAATAATTCCTCTTAGATGTAGTATTTTTATTTTATGTGTGTGTATGTGCACTACATGTGTTGGAGGTCCGAAGAGGGCATGTAATTCCCTGAAACTGTCAGTGATGGGGAACGGCTCCATTCCTCACTTCTGGTTAAAGAAGCAGACATGTTGCTTCTTATTCCTATTTATAGCAATGTTCCTCCTACCAGATAGCAAGGAGGGCTGGAGGAGAGAAGCGATCTTAGAATATTTGTATAGTTTTTCTCATAAAATATACTATTAACATACAAAAAGAATTCTATATATTGATTTTAACCAGATTTTCACTGGGGAATGCCTCATGCAAATAAAAACTCATGGATTATTATGAAAAGTCTCTCATTAGTTATTAAAAATCTGTCTTCCTGAGCTTCTTCTTGCTGAATTTCATTCCTTCCCATTTAGCATCATTTGACAAGAATGGGAGAACCTTGCTGTTCCTTATATGGCAAATTCCTTGTTTTTCCTTCTTAGGCAGATTTCAAATTAATGTGTGATAATGCGATGACCTACAATAGACCAGACACGGTGTACTACAAGTTAGCCAAGAAGATCCTGCACGCGGGCTTTAAGATGATGAGCAAAGTAAGAAACCCACTAGAGCAATGGCACTGAGCCGAAGTCTTCTAACTTTCTGTGCCTCACAGGCTCACAATGAATGACACGCTTCATCCATCCGCCACACCCAGGTGCTGACCCCTGCTCTAGACTGCCCTGTCCTCCAGGCACTGCCCCCCGTCTGCACCTTCACACAGCTTAGAGGTGCCATTATATGAGGCTGGTAAAACGTTCTGGATCTAGGGTCAGTCTTACTGGATCACAAGTCTACCTTGTGGTTTCGCTTTGTGGGGGCAGCCTGACTCACCCTCAACAGTATGAACTTATCCTTTGGCCATTCCAAGTAGCTTCCTAGATCTAAACTGTAAGCCCAGCTGTAGAAGCCTGACATAGATAGTCAAGGGACACTTGCTGGGCTCCACCATTCCCTCACCACCATCTCTGTGCCATACCTTGAATGCTGAGCCCTCGCAACCATTCCCGCTGCAGCGTCTGGGAAGGTGGCGATTAGGCCAGGTGAGGCCGTGGCCATCCCATGCCATCCCATCGTCACGGCTCCGTGGCTGAGGGAGAGGTAAAGTCCTGCTGCTCTGTCCTTTCTGATTCTAGGAGCGGCTGTTAGCTTTGAAGCGCAGCATGTCGTTTATGCAGGACATGGATTTCTCTCAGCAGGCAGCTCTCTTGGGCAGTGAAGACCCAGCAGTTGAGGAACCTGTTCCCGAGGTTGTCCCAGTGCAAGTAGAAACTACCAAGAAATCAAAAAAGCCGAGTAGAGAAGTTATCAGGTAAGGCTCGTGGAGCTTCTACCTACAAGCAGGACAGCAGTGCTTTGCCCAGACAAGGGCGAGGGGCACCTGTGGAGCATCTCATCCTGGATGGAGGAGCACGGTCTCTAAGGACTCTTAGGTTCCACGAAGCCCCTTGGTGCAGCCCAGAGGCGTTGAACTGGATGCCTTCCTGGCACTAGAACTTGAGAGGGAAATGGCTACCCTGTTCTGCCTGCCCCAAAATGAGGTGATTGTGTCTCATAGCTGATACTAGTCTGTCACCTGTGTATGTTTGCAGACTCTGGATCTTGCAGGGCAGTTCTGTGGGGTAAGATAGTCACTCATCACATGCTGTCATTGCTACCATCACAACTCATGCTGTTGATAAATGTGAGATGCAAGGGTGCTAAGACCACCCGCTTGTGTGCTAGCCACATGCACTGGGACCCACAGGCCCATTAGCTATCCCTGCAGTGCATGTTGCCAGTTAGTCGTTACTATATGATGTACATCCTATTTGCTGATATTCATCTCTTTAGTATGTGCCCTCCACACATAGCGCCTGCTAATGACCTTTGTTCTTAACCTGTGCAGAGCACAGTTGCAGGGAGCCCACCCTGGTCACCAGCACTCACCATGAAACAGTGTCCAAAAGCTGACTACTGTAGGGCTCTAGGAAGGTGGGTGGCCTGGTGATGAGCATCAGGAAGGTCAGGGTGTTTCAGACATGGCTCTCTGAAGCTTTTCTCCTGTCTGTCTGGCCATAACTAATTAAGGGACCTTCAGAGGGCATTATCTATGTCCCACACCAGAAGGTTTTCATGGTGCCCCTTTGTCTTGTGGATAGTGAGCACCGAGGCTGAACCGATGTTATGTCTTCAGTAGCAGACCAAAGGAGCATGTAGGCAATCATAGGAAGTTGGAACCCTACATGGTTCTTTACCATCACTGTCCAGCATGTGGCCGCCCTGACTGTGGTTTGAGCTATGTTGTGTGACTAATTGAGTAGCTTAGAATGGAGTGATGAGTACCACACTCATCATTTAAGCAATATACCTCTTTGAGTTAGTGACCAACCTGTGGCCTCGGATCATGTGAAGTTGGGAGAAGGGCATACTTTCCTGAGGCAGGTTCCCTCTCAGGAGACAGTTCTTCCTGGTGCCCATTGTCCTCTCTAGGGACATCTGCTGCCCTCATGTGTACCTGGCCTCTCAGGTTGCCTCAGGTTTGCAGAGGTTTTAGTTAGTAGCCTTGGTGTAGATGGTCTTGTCACTAAGATTCTACCCTCATCTGTGGGTTCTACGGCTTTTAGATAGAATGGATAGTTGTGGAGTCTTTTTTTGTTTGTTTGTTTGTTTGTTTTGTTCTATTTATTTATTTCTGAATTCCCAAATTTCAGAATTTGAGTTTCTGTACTGTCCACCAAATGCTACAGATTCTGCTTGACTGTCAGTGCCAGTGCCGTGGGGCTCGGCCAAGGGGCACTGTTATTCCTGGGTTGGCTTTCCAGGGAGCTGTTGTGTTAGTTACAGGCTGTCCTGTTGTTGCAACATCTCTCCAGCCGTTTGTTCCAGGACAGAGAGGCGCCTGTCTACCTGTTTGTACTCTCTGTAGGGGACAGGCTAGCTCCGCACTGCCAGCGCTTCTCAGTCAGAACGGCCCCTCCTTGGGAAGCCCAGGGCTTCTGGCAGCTTTACGTCACTGCAAATGTGACACTCCACACAGAGGGGCTTTGTCCCATTTCCTTCTAATGTCTATGTAATTTCTGTCACTTTTTATTTTTCCTGTTTGTAAGAAGACAAGTGTTTCTCTGAGATGTGGAACGTATAAGCGGTTCTATTTGGTTTGAATTTTTTACCCTAAGTATAAGGACATGGTTAGAACACAGGAATGCTATGAGAAATAAACTCTATCTAGTACTTTCCTGCTGGCCTCTGCAAGGGGACTGTTCATAGAAGCTACTGTTGGGGAGCAATGGGCAGTGCCTATGATAACACTTGGTTTTCATGCCTTACAGCTGCATGTTTGAGCCTGAAGGGAATGCCTGCAGCCTGACAGACAGCACTGCAGAGGAGCATGTGCTAGCCCTGGTAGAGCACGCAGCTGATGAGGCTCGGGACAGGATTAACCGGTTTCTCCCAGGTGGCAAGGTAGTATCTGTGACCCTCCCCTGAGGGCCATGCCACTTGGCCTCACTCACTCAAGCCTTTGCAACCAGGTACCACTATCAGAACTGAGAGTCCTAGGATCTGGCCAGAGTACCTCCTGACTGCCAGGAGTTCAGGCCAGAGCCAGATCAGCTCGTTGATTGTCTTGGTCTTATGTCCTCAGAGGGGTCTGAGATCGCTATGCTGGCGGTGCCACCCTGAACATAGAATATGGTATTTCCCCACTACATCCAGCTTGGGTTGGGGCCACGGTTTCTCTGTGTAGCCTTAGCTGTCCTGGAACTTGCTCTGTAGACCAGGCTGGCCTCTGCCTGTCTCTGCCTCCCGAGTACTGGAATTAAAGTGAGTGCCACTACTTCCTGGCTACAGCTGGATCTTACAGAGGTATTTTCTTAATTGAGGTTCCCTCCTTTCAGATAACTCTAGCTTGAGTCACGTTGACATAAAACTAACCAGGACAGATATCCATGTGGTAGGTAAAACGCTGTCAGGTAGAGCCAAGAAATGTGCCTGTGTGGATACACACTATGTATATATACAACTTAGAGTGGCTGTGTTGGTTACTGTGTTTGCATCTACTGAAATCTTAGCTGTCTGGTGAAGCTTCCTGCTTCCTCCAGTGCCACAGGCCACGTCATGTTTCTTCCTTTCTAGTGTGAATACTGCTTTGAGAAGCATTGGCCCCAGTACCCTGGGTATATTGTTGGTGCCCGCTATCCAGGATCTTCCACCTCCCCTGCCTCTGCCCTACTTGTTGTATTCTCTCTGACGTTGTCGCAGGGGCCCTTACAATCACAAGAGCTTGCCCTTCATGCACCTGGCCAGTTCCTTGCACATTTCATCTGCACATATACTCCTTCCGCCCCCTGACATGAGTCCCTGTATAAGACCGTAGGCCCCTGTGGGAAATAGTCAAGGCCTTTTGTGGAAGGTTTTTAGTGGAGCAATGTTTCTAATGTTTCTTCCGAACTTAGAGATGGAAGTGCAGACCTCTGTAGTGTGGTGCGATCCTTTTACTTAGCTGGCACTCTTCATCTCATTTTGTTCAGGCTTAATGGATGGTTTTTAATTTTTGCACATAGCTTTTATTCAGAAACTCTTTGGCAGGGATCATGTGCCTAAGCAGTGCTTTGACCATATATAGGTGTCTTTGGTCATAATCAGGTGTATTTAATCATGAGCAGGTGCCATCAGTCACAAGCAGGCCAGTCTAATCCCTGCCCCTGTGAGAGGGATTGTCTGGCTCTTTCTCATGGAGAAACTGCTGGAGGAGTGACTAGCATGTCACATGTCTCTAGTAGATGGCACAAGGTTTCCCCTAGTGGATGACACTTGGTGGTACTTCCTTGCAGATGGGGTACCTGAAGAAGCTTGGAGATGGAAGTCTGCTCTACAGTGTGGTGAATTCAGCTGAGCCTGATGCTGATGGTGGGTGCTCGGTGCAGGGCCTGGTTGCTTGCATGTTGTCCTCTAAACTCTATACATGCTCTGAGGTGCTGAGCACGTATAACACATTCACATGTCACCACTATTGGTAATGAGACTGCAGGACAGTTGCCTGCCTTCCCATTTCTACATACATCCTGAGTGTGTGCACAGTGGGGCCTATGTGTATCATGAAAGGGGCTAGAGTGTCATTGGACATCCATTGGGTTTCTCAGGGTGGTGATCGATTCTTAAGGGCTGAATTTCATTGATGATGGAGGAAGGTTTTGTCCAGCTCTGCCAGTACTGCTTCCTCATGGGCCAAATGCTGACCTACATACTTGAAGCTCAGAAGTATTCTAGAGGGAAGGTTAGGTGATCACGTCAGGGTAGGTCTTAGTGAAAACATGAATGCCACCAGGCACACCAACCTGGAGGATCATTTCATTCATCAGAACATCTTAAGATAGCAGCTGTGCCTGTGACTGAGTCCCTGGGATTGCAGTATGCCCACAGACACACTTGGAAGGATGAGACACAGTGATGTTGGCTCACACTTTCCTGCTTTGCCTGAGTCTCTCTTGCACAGGTCGACATCTCCCTCAGCTCTTGGGCCTCTTGACATTCTTCCTCCCAGCCCTCAATCAGCCCTCAATCAGCCCTCAATCAACAGTTTTTTGTTGTTGTTGTTTTGTTTTTTGTTTTTTTTCCTAGTGTGTATGGGATAGACACTCTGATTTTAACTGTTAGTGGACCATGTTTTTGTGGTCTTCAGGAGAAACTAGATGAGGTAGCCTGTACTTAGGCTAGGAAGTCAGTGTGGAAACCAAGGTTCCTGTCAGGACTGGAGAAATTATGTATATGTGAAAGCAGATTGTGTAACCAGATGAGCATGTAGAGGATGGCCAGTGAGTGTTAACCATCGCATATAGGTGCTGAGTGAGCAGTTTGCAAAGATGAAAGTATTACTGGCATGATAGCCCACAGACATGACAAGGACAAGCATGTACTCATTTCTACTTCCCCAATGCTGGAATTATAAGCATGCACCATCGTGGCCTTTTTAAATTTATTTTTTTTTTAAGTACAGATTGGTGGGATTGAACTCAGAAGTTCATGCTTACAAGGCAAACAAACACTTTGCCAATGGAACCATCTGTTTAGCTTTAGACATTTAGACATCTGTTTAGCTTTAGGTATTTTTTTTTTTCATGGTGTTAACTTTCAGGTAATTACAAAACCAAATTGAAATGGTGCTAGTTCTGAGAATTACATTTTGCTTTTGCAAAATCATTTTTAAATGTAGAGTCTTTATGCTCCCACCCCTCCCTGTGCAAGGTGATTCTAGAGAACATGCTCATCACTGCTGATGAGCCATCAGGCTGGCTTGATCATTCCCTCTCCTGTGTCTTCTGCAGAGGAGGAGACACACCCTGTGGATCTGAGTTCACTATCTAGCAAGTTGCTCCCAGGTTTTACAACATTGGGTTTCAAAGACGAAAGAAGAAATAAAGGTAAGTACAGTGACTGGCGGGAGCTCTCTGGAACTGAAGGGTGGTTTGGCTGGCAGTGGGGATGCTGAAATCGCCAGTGCCTCCTCCATGATTTTCTTCATGGTTTTGTTACTGTGACTGCATTCAGATTTTAAGACAAATGAAGTTTAGATCCATTAAATAGGTGGGTTAAAGTCATACTTGGTGAAGAGTTCCTGCTTGCATTCTGCTTCCACTAAGGGTGAGTTCAGACTGAGCTCCTAATCTTCCTCACTCAGGCTGCCATTCCCTCCCTCCCCAGGAGCCTTGACTCTTGCCGTTCTTACGGAGGGATTCATTTCTTTTTTTTTTTTTTTTTTTTTTTAATATTTATTATGTAATGGTGTTATGCTTGCAGATCAGAAGAAGGTACCAGATCTTATTATAGATAGTTGTGAGCCATCATGTTTTGCTGGGAATTGAACTCAGGTCCTCTGGAAGAGCAGTCAGTGCTCTTAACCTTTGAGCACCTCCAGCCGGGTCATTCTTACACCGGACTACAAACCACTTGAGGTGATGAGCGCCGGCGCCAAAACCCAAAGGGGGGGGGGGGGGGGTATGTGTGCCATAAATGGACTACTAGTGTGTTTGGGAATGTGTGTGGTTGTTTTTTTTTTTTTATGCATATAGAGTATTTTATTTAATTATATAACAAAGTCCAATTAAATGAAAACAAACAAACACAATTGGGAATTTGGGGGTCGTTCTTTCCAAAAAATTCCCCGGGGGTAGGGGGCGGTGTCGGGGGGGGGCGAAGAAGATTCAGAATCCAGCGTTCTGTAGGGCGTTGTCCAGCTGTTTGGAATGTAGGACAGCTTGACCGCAGGCGGTCAGGTGTGATCAACCACATTAGTCTGGAAGAGACCACATCTTTTCATTTTCTGTGGAAAAAAAAATAAAACTTTTCCCCAGTCACGTGCTCTTCAACTTAAATTGGAGTCAAAGCGTTTTTTTTTTTCTTGTTTCTGTCGTCCCGCCCCCCCCCCCCCCCCCCCCCCCCCCCCCCCCCCCCAGCCTACCCTCCCTCCCGCCGGGCTCCCTTTCTCCCTCTCTACCCTCTCCCATGGACTCTAAACACCCTCCCCTCCCAACCCCCACCACTACAATATGTAGGGGGAAACCACCCGGTTGAGGGTCATGTAGAGCTGGTCCTGTGGTGGGCTAGCTTCTCTCCTATCTCTAAAAGGAGTTATCCCTCCATGGGGGATATGTTTGCAAAGTCCCTTTTGGGCGCAAGGTACATCCTGGCTCCACTGCTGAGGTCTCTTAGACTGCTCAGCCTTCTGGCTGAGACCCATCAGGGGGGTCCGAGTCATGACCCCTGTTGGCTCCCAGCTATCAGTCTAGGGGCCCTAGCCCTCCTTGTCAGGTAAGCTGTCTCTATGTACTCTACCGCATGGTCTTGTCTCTCCATCCTTCTGGGTTCTAGTTTGACTCAGTGTTTATGTATGGGTGTTTGCTCCTTTTTTCAACTGGCATCTACTAGTGTGTTTGGAGAAGTTAGTTGTTGTCTCACTCTCCGGGGGGGGGGTTTTAGGAGGGGTTTCCCGGGGGGGGGGGGGTTGGGGGGGGGGGGGGGGTGTGGTTGTCCCCCCCCCTGGTTGTGTAACTTTTCTCAAACCATATTGGCTCCAATGTGTGTGGTTGTACATATGTGGTCCACAGGTGTGAAATGGGGTGCCGAATAGACAGTGCAGTTACCCATGGGCAGTTTCTGCTACTGCATTTGTGCTCAAGCAGGAAGAAAAAGGAAGAACCAGGCATGGGCTCAGGTTAGAAGGCAAAATGGCAGTGGCTGTGCATTGAGCATGACTCTGACCTTCCCTTTGCTTCCTTCTCTTTAGTTACATTCCTCTCCAGTGCCAGCACTGCACTTTCAATGCAGAACAACTCTGTGTTTGGGGACCTGAAGTCAGATGAGATGGAACTTCTGTATTCGGCATATGGGGACGAGACTGGTGTGCAGTGTGCACTGAGGTAAGCCAGGTCGCACATACACGCGAGAGCTTGGCATTGCAATGGAGCCAGGTGGTGTCAGCAGAAACTCCAGTACCATTTGCCACTGTCCACTCTCCTGCCCGGGCCTGTCTTGCAGCTCAGCACAGTTTGAAGAAGGCAGTGGTTCAGGCTGTAGCATAAATGTGTTAGCAAACATATACTTACAAGAAGCTTTTTCACAATTGTTTCAAGATATGTTTCCTGGAGACTATTAGTCATCTGGGGCCACAGTAATCAAGTTCCAGCACCAAGGACTAAAGAAGGCCTCACTGTGCTTAAAGCTGGAGTTCTGAGGCCCAAGACTTGGTAATCTTGGCTCAATACAGATGCTGTCTTCTCTCCTGTCTTCACATAACCTTCCCTCTGTCCTGGTCTCCTCTTCTTATGACAGCAGTCAGATTGGATCGGCAACTACTGTAGTGGTCCCTTTTGACCATAATCACTTCTCAGAAGACTCCGTCTCCACATACAGTCACGTTCTGTAGCACTGGGATTAGGATAGAAACTGATGAACTTGAGTGGGGTGAGGTAGGATGACATAAGCAAAATTCAGTCTATAACAGGGCCTAGAATGTAGTACATTGTGAAGCTAGAGAGATGGCTTAGTGACTGAGTATACACTGCTCTTGCAGAGGACCTGAGTTTAGGTCCCAGCACTCATGTCAGGCACTTCATAACTATCTGTAACTTCAGTTCCCGAAGATCCAACTGCCTGTTCAGCAAGCATCTGCACTCATATGGCAGCACGTCCCACACAGGTATGATTGCACACATATAATTAAAAGAAATAATAAATCTTTTTAGAAACACAGAGGAAAGACTGTATCTCCATATTGTCAGCATTTTGTTTTGTTTTCTCTACAAAATAGAAGTGGGCCATCTTTATAGATAAAGTTTTATGGACAATTAAACCTTGCTAGCCTCTAAAAAATTAGAATCTTTGAAAACACAAAACAGAAACATTCGATTTCGTCCTTAATAAATGAATACCTGACCCAAATTTTTGTGACCAAAGAGGCATTAAAATAGAAGTGAAAGAAGGGTTTCCTTCGGGAGAGAAAAGTGTGACAAGTCAGCAGGTAGAGCTTCAGTTCCATAGTCAGAGCCCATGCTGACTAGCAGGCCCTATGTCGCCTTTACTGAGCTCTGTTCCTTGAGGGCACTGGGAGTATGTTGTCCCCAGGCCATTAACATCCTACTGTCTTCCCCAAGTGTCTGCTCCTGGAATGTGTTCCACATGTCACACAGCAATCAATACCTGGAGATGGCAGCACCTCACAGTTCAGGGGCAATGCACAAACAAATGTCCAGGCCCGTGGGGCCATCAGGGTTGGTCTGTGAGCACTTCAAGAGTGCCCCTCTGTACACATGGTCAGAGTATCCCAGGCACCCTGTATTCTGTATTCTGTCAGCAAATGGGTTTATCTAGCTTTAGCTCTAAGCCAGCAGCCTTGCTTCTCTCTCTGAAGGTCTTCAAGGCCTAGGAGTCTTATGGAGTCATCCTGGATACTATATTCTAGGGGACTTTTGTTCTCTGACTACATCATGGATTTTATTTACTTTTAATCTATTCATTTGATTCAGAAATAAAATTGTACCAAAAAATGTGCCCACTTAGCAGTCAGACTAGCCGATACAGGCAGCCTTCTTTAGATTAACCAGTATGTCTTATAATTTTATGTGGATTGTGTACCTGCATGTGTTACTGCCTTTTGTGTGTTTGTTTGTTCTCTTTAATTTTCCTGAAGATCTTTCAGTCTTTTTCTTTTTTTTTTCTTTTTCTTTTTTTTTTTTTTTTTTTTGGCCATGAACCACTTTGAAAATTGTTAGAGAGCCCCCCCTTGGCCTCCCCCATCCACCACACACACACACACACACACACACACACACACCTGGGAACCTGGGAAGCTCCAGAGGACTGAGGAGAGGCTTGGCAGTGGACTTCTGGAATCAGGAGTCATGCTGTTAGACTTGAATCTTGAAATTGGAACATGATGCTTTTTCAGCACATTCCCTCACATTATTCATTCCCTTCTAGCCTGCAGGAATTTGTGAAGGATGCTGGGAGCTATAGCAAGAAAATGGTAGATGACCTCCTGGACCAAATCACAGGTGGAGATCACTCAAGGATGATCTTCCAGCTGAAGCAGGTGGGATTTGAAGTTGATGTGGGCCCAGGCTCTTGGTCCAACTCTTGGAGCTACACCAGTGCAAAGAGCCCATTCAGCCCTCCCAGATTCCAGGGAGGCAGCCTCTGGCTGGGTGGAGTTCTAAAAAATCTGTCCACATTAGCTCTGGAACTATTTTGGCCTGGTAGCCTCCTCTTTGTCTGAAGAGATGAGCAGAGAAATCTTGTGCCCCACCCAGATTTCAGCCCTACCAGCATGTACTTGGCTCTTGTTCTGGTACTTACTTCTTTCCAGCAAGAAGTTAACCTTAGCACAGGCCATTTGTCTAAAAACCTTTCTCTTACTACTTTGTGGATGTGTGATGTTTGGTGCACATATGAAGAAAAGAGGACAAAGTTATCTTCTTCCACTGTGGATTCCAGGGACCAAACCCAGGCTTTCGTGGTCTAACTTCACTACCACCTGTGAAGAGTCCTGTAAAACCCCTGCTTCAGCTGTGGATATAGTGAGGTTATAATGAGCAGAACCCCAGGCAGTGAATGAGCCTCTGTTAGTGTAGTGTACATGAATTACCCTGCAATGTAAAATGGTGGGAAAACTTGTTTCCTATCTTGTTACTTGGCAGAGGAGGAGCATCCCCATGAGACCTGCGGATGAAGTGAAGGTGAGTGTCCAAGCTCAGCGTTTGGGGTCTGTGTGGGCAGTCCTTGCAGTGAGTGGCCAGGCAGCCTCTTGTCACTCCACTCAGGAGCTGCTAGAGGGACTTCAGTGTCACCACTTTCCTGTCACCTAGGGCTCTAATCTAAGCTCAGAAACAAGTTCAAAGCAATCACCTAGGCTCTGTCCTCAAGGAGAGTGGGGACCCCTTTTCCTATGTGACTTAACATGGTACGCAGCACTATGGTCTTGTGCTGCAAAGTTTATCCACTGCCAGCAGAGACCTGTGTGCCTGTGTGGTTGGGTCTCAGAACCAGGGAATGCTGTGAGTCCTTAGTTTGAGGGTAAGAGCAGAAGCTGGGGGGCAGGAGCTCCCAGAGCCCTGGGAAATCAGACTGACCCTTGCTTTTGGAATCTGCCACATTGCTCCTGAAAAAGGTGGCGGTGGGCCCTTGAGTTCCATGTGCCTACTTGGTCTCCCTGTGGCCTGCCTCCCATATTCCCATAGTGTAAATGAATTCCCTAAGAAGTTAGCAAAGGGACGTTGGCTCTTAGTAGAGAGGAAAGTCAGAGGTGTGTCTATTTGAGTAGGTCCCTGGGTGTGGGTTTGCACTTCCATTAATAAGCTTGGACTGCAGCCTCTAGGATAGTGTGCATTCATGTTACTTACTGAGGGGTGGGCTCAAATCAGTATTTTTTCTCATCTTCTGCAGGTTGGGGACTCACTGGGAGATAGTGGCCCCGTTCTGGATTTTATGTCAATGAAACCGTATCCTGATGTCTCTCTGGATGTGTCCATGCTCAGCTCTCTGGGTGAGGCACCTTGGGCACTGTTTGATGTGTCTTCTCACATGGACTCCACCCCTACCTGTGATGTGTGATGTAGTAAGAAAGCATCATCATGTGGTTTCTCTGGATTCACAAGCTGCCCTGGCAAATAACAGGATTAACTTACCACTAGTCAGAACTGTGGGCTGTGTGTGGCCAAGGGCCTAGCTGCATCCCCAGCATATGGGATCAGATGCTGTCTCCAGGGGAACAGTGTCAAAGCTAGAGGACAAGGACGCCCAGGTAATATCTGCTGGTTTCCCTATGAGTTAAAAACCCAATTGAGGCTGGTGTCAGAAGTACTGTGCGGCTCAGTGTGGAGTGTTTGCTTTAGCATGAACAGTGCCCTGGGTTCAATCCCTTTCCCAAAAACACCAAACACAAGCAAACAAACAAAAACCCCAAACTAAACAAACAACAAAAAGCACTGGTTTGTAAGAGACTAGGAAATACATGAAACATAAGTGTGTTTACTTCAGATTCCCTTGGTCAGACTGCTAGGCTAGGCTGAGCAGAAATGACACCTGTCCCTGACCCTAGACAGGTCAGGGTCCCCTGCCTGCTGAGGCTGACCTTGCCCTCTGCCAGCTGAGCGGCTGAGGCCTCCTCTCTCTCTTGCTCTGTAGTGTGTCAGCACAGATGCCGTTACCCTTATCTTGGGAAGTCCCATTCAACTTGTCTTCTAACACTCCAGTGTGTTACCCCAGGCGCTCTGTTCAGTGCTCTGCCTGCGAGCTTTACCCCAGTCATTTGTGCCCTTTCACCCTCACGGTGTGGGGTGTGTTTCCTTGCTGCTTTATAGGTTCATTTTCAGGAGTCAGAGTTTATATCCCAGGTTCTGGGTGGGGTGATGCCTTGGACTGTGGCTCCCTGTGCTGTCAGGACAGTAAGTGGTTTGGATCCCATGAACCATTCCCAGGTCTTGTTGGGAATGGCCCAGAGACACCTTTTAAGCCTGCTTGTTTGTTTCGGGGTTTTTTGTTTGTTTGTTTTTAATGTTTTATTTTATTTTTGAGATTACAGAATTTCTCCCTCAGTTTTCCTTTCTCTAAACCCTCCCATTTGTCCTCTCCACTCTTTCAAATTCATGGCCTCTTTTTTTTCACTAACTGTTGTTACATGGGTATAATGAGTATGTATATACATATATATTCCTACATATGACCTGTTCAGTCCATATAGTGTTTCTTGTATGTGTGTTTTCAGGCTGACCATTTGGCACTGGACAATGAGTTGAGGTTCTCTTCCCTGGGAAAGACCACCTCTCTCCTCTCGCAGCTATTCTTAGTTGCCCATAGTTCTTTGTGTAGGACTGAGGCCTCATGGGCTTTTCCCCATCTACTCTGACATGACCATTGCAATGTATTGCCCTTGTTCAGCCCATGTTTGGGCAGTCATGTTGGTGAGACCATGGGTGTAGTTTCTGATACGATTAGGAGACACATCTCCTAGGATACTCCCCGATTCTCTGACTCACTTCTTTCTCCGCCCTCTTCCATAATGGTCCTAAGGCCATTCTTAATCCAGGGCAAATGTGGGTTCCTGGCTTCTCTGACTAAGCTGTGTCCATTCACAGGTTCAAGGTAGTACTTTGCTGAGACAAGTCAACACTGGGCCCTAGTCTGTTTCTAGGCTTGGGATCTGGGTGGAGACTCTGCTCAGTGTCCTTATTTGCATACTCTGTCCAATTTCTCTGTTTATGGCAGGAGGCCAGCCTCAGACAGACACATCTTTCCTGTTGACAAAGTTGTCCATAGTGTTGGTGCATTGGGTGGCTGAGATTCAACGTGGCATTCTGCTTGAATGAGAGACACTGGGTCTGCTCCCTTGCGTACTACCTGTCCTGGTCTGTCATCAAATGGGATTCCTTCTGCTGTGAGCTCCTCCAGGAGTGATCTTACACAACAGCTGGGCTCTGTGTCTGTGTGTGCTGACTACATTTACCAGCATTGCATCATTTTTGTCATATAGGGAAAGTGAAGAAGGAGCTAGACCATGATGATAGCCACTTGAACTTAGATGAGACAACCAGGCTTCTGCAGGATTTACATGAAGCACAAGCAGAGCGAGGAGGTTCCCGGCCATCCTCCAACCTTAGCTCTCTGTCCACCGCCTCTGAAAGGGAGCAGCACCCTCCAGGTAAGGGCCTCACGAAGGCTAATAGAAGGAGGCTGCATTGAGTTGGGGGACCAGGCCCACAGAGCCAAGATGGTGGCCTTCATGCAGTGACTTATTCTGGGAGGTGTCTACCTTGTGCATCTGTGGGGGCCAGGATATTTGTTTTTATTATAGATTTGTTGCTACCTGTCCTCTGCCATTCCATATTGTATTCCTTGGCTGTATCAACCAAAGGAATGGTCACCATGCCTGGTGAGGGGTTTCTTTGTTTAAGGAGAGATGAGCCTCACCGCTAACACCCTTGGGTATCCAGCCACGTGTAGGATCTCAGATACTGGCTCTTTAAAATGCTTGCGTATGTTGTAGGGTTTCCCCAGGTGTAGCACTGGCAACAAAGTAGCCCAAAGACACAGTTTTACCCAAGTGTACCTTAGTGAACCAGTGAGTTCATTGGAGTTATTTATAGGAGCATAGGTAGGTCATTCCTTCGGTCTCTCCTTCCATGATGTTCCTTAAGCTTTGGGGTGAGTGATATTTTCCTCCACCTTATGCCACATCAACAGTCTTTTTTTCTTAAGAACTGAGGCTGACAGCAGTAGTACTCTATGGGCGTGAACAAATGTTTCAAAGGCAGGTTAACAGGCACATCACATCCAATTAGCAAAGCTTCCCTAGCGAGGCCTGTGACCTCCCCAGCTACAGGGCCTTTGCCCTGGACTACAATGTATATGTGAGTTTCTTCCTGTGTTAATTCAATCAAAGTAGATTGTTACACATAAGTCAGGTCACTATTCTGTCACTCTGCCTGGTGTCTTAGTTACTCTCCTGTTGTTATGAGGAGACACCACGACTAATGCAACTTATAAAATAAAGCATTTAAAGTGCCAGGCACACACCTTTAATCCCAGCACTCAGGAGGCTGAGGCAAGTGGATTTCCATGAGTTCAAGCCCAGCATGGTCTATGTGGTGAGTTCCAGGATAGTCAGAGCTATATAGAAATTCCTGTCTTAAAACAAACAACAACAACAACAAAAGCAAGCAAACAGACAAGCACTTCATTGGGGGCTTGCTTATAGTTTGCAATTTCAGAAATCAAAATCATGGTGGAGAGGGAATGGAGGTGGGCAAGTATGACACTGGGTCAGTAGCTACGAGCTACATCTTCCTCCACAGGCGGCAGGGCTCGGCATGGGCTTTTGAAGCCTCGGCTTGCAGTGACACACCTCCTCCAACAGGGCCACACCTCCTAACCCTTCCCAAATAGTTCCACTAACCGAGGACCAAACATTCAAATATGAGGGTAGGGGACCATTCTCATTCAAACCACCACACACAGTGGCTGACCAAGTGAGTCCATAACCAAGTGAGACCAAGTTCTCTTCCCCGAGTAGTAGCTCACCATCTAGCACTATGCAAACCAGCCAGCAGGAAGAGAGCGTGTAACTCAGTCTCAACCTGATTTTGCCATATCCTTCAGCCACATCATGCGTGTCATCAGCAGTGGAGTTACTGCCTCCTTCTGGCATGCAGCTAACAGCAGTGCAGTGGCTTGAGGAGCCCCTCTCCAACAACTCGGGAAGTTGGCCCACTCTGGGTTTTCCACCTAACAACCTTATGGTTTCTGCCCTAGTTAGCTTTTCTGTTGCTGTGATAAAACACTAACTACAACCTGGTGAAGAGCTTACTTCATCTTAAACTTTGAAACATGAGGAGAAGCCAGAGCAGGAGCCCAAGGTAGAAATCTAGAGGCAGCGGACCACAGAGGACTGCTGCTTACTGGCTTGCTTTCTCTGGTTTTCCTCAGCCATCTTTCTTATGCAGCCAGGCCAACCGGCACAGGGTTGGTAGCACCCACAGTAGGCTGGACCTTCCCGCATCAATTAGCAATCAAGAAAGTAGCCCACAGACACCCCCACAAGCCAGCCGAAGGTCCTTCCCAAATGACTCAAATTTGAGTCAAGTTGACAGAAACTAACCAGCGCGGAGCCTTCATTCAGATTCTTTAACTGCTGCTTTTCACCTTCCAGGTGCTTTTCCGAGTCTGTAAGGCACTGAACCATTACATGATGAAGCCTTTTCACAGAGTAGGAGCAAGGTCTCTGAAGGCCTACCTCAGTCCACTCCAAACAAGTCCCAGTTGGTCTTGGATGGCTAACTAAAAAGAGAACATTGTCAAGATCCATTATAGCACAACACAAACTCGCCATTTGTGTTTGTTTCACCAGAACAGCGTGAGGGGTAGAATGGACGGAGACTTTATCCCATCTAGACCTCTGTAAACACAGTTGTTTTCCATGAGCCTTTAGCCCCCTTATCCCGGAGCAGTGCTGCCACCACGGGGCCACTGTGCGTGTGCATTTCCCTGCCCCAGATAGTCTTGGTTGGGCCAGCTTGTGTTGCTTGTTCCGGCATAAGACTTAAGGGAAATCAGGACTGCACTTAGCCTGCCATGCCCGCCACTGGAACTAGATACCTAGTTATGACAGGCTCTGGGCTAACACCACAGCTCTTGTCTTTCCATTGGCCATACTTAACTGTTGAAAGGACCAGATCTGGGTTAAAAAGCAAAACAAACAAACAAACAAAAAGAAAACCCTTCACCCCAAGTGTACTTTATTACAGGAGAGAAATATACACAATAAACTCGGGGGCAGGGGAAGATATTTTTATTTGAAGTTTTATCACTTATGTCTTCTGTGAACTGTTGCTTAGACTTTAAAGCCTTCCGGCAGCTTACTAGCAGAGCATTTGACTTTCTGTCAGTTTTTTTCTGTGTGAATTTTGGCTTGACACAAATCTTACACTATTTGCCTTTGAGTGACCTAGATGGATTCCTTCGTTTGCTTTTCCTGTTCCCTATCACCTCTCGATTGTTTTTGTACTTTAAAATGTACATGCTGATATGAGTCCTTCACGTCCAGCAGAGTCTCCTCTTCCCACATGGGTCCCATCCCATCACAGGACTCAGCAAAGCCATTATAGCTCCAAATCAATCCTGAGATCTCTGCTCAGTCAGCCTCTTTAACTTCCAATCTGGTGAGCACGGCATCAAACACTTCATGCTAGCTTCTTCGGTAATGTCTGTCTTTTCTCTGTGGTCTTCTAGTCCCTGGTATCTGTGAGATTAACGATAACCAAGCCTGCCTAATAGAGCGAGTGCCTTTTAGGAACTACTTTCCGGGGCCTCCACCGCCATTTGTTCTCTTCTGACCTTACATGCATCCTGCTGTGTACAGAATGAATCCTGCTCTTTTTGAAGGAAGCCTGACTGCAGCTGCCAGAAGAAAGCCTAAGATTTGTTTTTTTATTCTGATCACCTGGTGATCAGGGTGTCAAAGTAGAGCCCGAGGAGGTCACAGGTGGCCCTGATTCAGATTGGGATATGAATGTACCTGTGTGTGGTGACAGGGAGGACATTTATCTCTGTAGATATCAGAGATGTTGGTTCCATAAGCTTTGCAGATCTGTTTGGTGTACTTAAATGCTATGTTCTTTTAAACCTACAGGAAGTCCTTCTCGCCTTAGTGTTGGAGAGCAGCCGGATGTCACGCATGACCCTTACGAATTCCTTCAGTCTCCAGAACCTCCAGCTTCTGCCAAGAACTAACTTGTGGACTTTCCAGATGTTTTATTTTTTCTTTTTTTCTAAGTTTTTTCCAATACACAGTTTTTTGTCACAAGACAGAAACTTGTCTCATCCCCTCTGGCATATGGCCCGAGGAAGATGGCGGCTTGTCTGTACTGTCATGTCCACAGAAGCGGCCCAACAAAACGGAGTAATGTCCCATAAGTTCTGAGCAGTGACAGTAGAACACAACAGGGTTGGTCTCTTCTGCGTCCCAGAAACCAAGCTTGTTTATGATGAATAATGTGCACACAGTCACTCTACACGAGTCCTGAACAGCTAGCTGTCCTGCAGCTCTCAAAGGGGTGGCTGCAGAACAGGCCTTCAGAGGGTAGCTTCTGTTTTCTATGTGGTCACTTGAGGATGGAGTTGTGTCCCTGACAAATAATGAACCAGCCCACATTTTAGAATGAAGAATTCAGAGCCATAAAATGTTTCAAAACTGGATGTATTTGCTGAGTACCTTGTTTGTATTTGCAAAAAACATGAACACGGGTCCTAATAAAGAGATGCCTAAGGTGGTGACTCTATGATCATTTTGTCTATTGTGATGGTGGGGACACCTCTTGTATCCTGTAGACCAGCTGGACACCTGCTCCTTTTTGGGAATTAAAAAAAAAAGCAAAGAAGACCCCACCTTCACAGGCCAGCTGCAGAAGGAAGTTAAGTTTTGAAGGGAGAAGGGCTGTGGCTGTAAGAAGGGCTTAGCAGTTGGCATTCCAGGCACAGACAAGCAGGGCTACAAGCAGCAGCGGTCTATGGGAGTCCTTGAGATTTGCCACAGTCGTCGGCAAAGGACAGAACATCTCACATCTGGATAAAGCACTAGTTAAGTGATTTGCAGCTGTGTCTTATCTGAGCCAGGAGCAGCACTTGTTAAAGACTGCCTGCTTCCGGGGGACCAATGTGTCTTGCCTTGATATTGCCACCTCTCTGTTTAGGCTAACTTAGTTCTGGGCCAGTGCCCTTGCCTGGGAGGGAGACTGGAAAGGTTGATTCTGGGTCCACAGCATCATGTGACGTGATGTGCTGTTCTAGGTTTCATGAGGCTTCCAAGCCCAGCTAGCTTTGCAGCATGACTTAGTGCTAACCTGATAGGATCTGAGCTTTTCTTTAGGATCTCTTCCTCACTGGTGCACTGCCCTAGGTCCTCTACACGTGACCAAGGTGGTGTCAGTGTAGTGAAGCTGCAGTGGGAGCCTGGGCTAGCAAAGAGCATCTGGGCTGCACTCGGGAGGTCCACGTTCTGTGGTCCCCACAGTAGGAGGATTAACATGAGCCTTGGGAGATGCTGTTTCCTGGGCCTCAACCTGAGGTACAGGTAGAACCATGGGAACATAGACTGTTTTGACAGTTGGGCACCCAGCCACCTTTACAGAGGAACAGAAGAAACAACCCAGTGCCTTCACTATTGAAAGACCTTTCATCTTTGGTGAAATTGGTGGCATAAATCTAACCATTTACCATTTGTGTGACACATTCGGCATATTTATATTATGCAGCCACTACCCCCCATTAAGTTCCAGAATATTCCCATCACCCTATAAACTCCGTGCTCACTGAGGTCACCAGCACATTCTCTGGACTTAACCAGTTCTGGGTATTTCATAGTAGTAGGACCTTGTATTTACCTTTCATCGTTACATCCAAGTCCAACCTTATTCAGGTGGCCTCCCTTCACTCGATACTGCAGTCTGGCCACTGTTCAATTCTGGGTACTGGGGAGGCCCTGGAAGCCAGACATTCCTGGACAAACCAGAAACTCATCATAACAGCTGATTAGGCAGGGTTCAGGGTAAATCCAATCTCACTCGCTGAGTGTCACCCATTGGCTTGCCCAGTACCTGCTGCTCACACCTGGGAAATCACCAACATCTCAGGAAAGGAAAAGGTGAGGTCGAGATGTGAGACAGTTGAAACACACTTCGCATCTCGTTTAGATCGGAATGTGTATGTACAACGCAAGTCAAACGGGAGGTGTGTGTGCAGATGAGGGTTATACAGATGAAGACGTGTGCAGGTGAAGGTATGTGTATGTGTGTGTGTGTGTGTGTATGCAGTGATAAGCACTGGAGTGTCTCCAGGTAAAAATTACACAGGTGAAGGTATGGACCACTGTGTGCAGAGGAGGGTGTGCAGATGGGCTAAGGAGAGGTGGGATGATGTACAGGTGGAGGTATGTCCCGGCCTCTTAATAATGTTCTCATACACTCTGGACAGTGGCTTTAGGTGAGAATGTAGACCCTGGTCTATGTGGACAACTGGCAGCATAGCCAGATTCCGCAGCCTTCAGCTGTCCTGTCTGCAAGTGGCTTTCCGGGGTGATGCATGCCACCATAGGGGCTTCTGTGGATGCAAAGGGATGCATGCTGCCCATCCTATCACAGTTCCAGGGGGAGTCTCAGCAGTCAGCCCACACTGGGGGCAGCCATGACACTGTAGGAGTCCACAAATAGGAACTAAACATTTCTTTTTTGTTTGTTTTTGTTTTTTTATTTAAAGCAATCTTATATACCAATCCCAGTTCCCTCTTCCTCCCATCCTCCCATTTCCACCCCTATTATTCCCCATCCCACCCCCGTCCACTCCTCAGGGAGGGTGAGGCAAATAATCCAATTAAAAAACGACATACAGATCTAAATAGAGAATTCTCAATAGAGGAATCTCAAATGGCCAAAAGGCACTTCAGCAATTGCTCAACATCCTTAGCCATCAGGGAAATGCAAATCAAACAATGCTAAGATACCATTTTACACCTGCCAGAATGGCTAAAATAAAAAACACCAATGACAGTTTGTGCTGGAGAGGATGTGGAGAAAGGGGAACACTCCTCCACTGCTGGTGGGAGTGCAAACTCGTACAGCCACTTAGGAAGTTAATATGCCAGTTTCTCAGGAAAATGGGAATCAGTCTACCCTCAAGATCCAGCATATACCTCACATTCATACCCCAAGGACATCTCTTCAACTATCTATGTTCATAGCAGCGTTATTTGTAATAGCCAGAACCTGGAAGCAACCTAGAAGCCCTCAACTGAAAAATGAATAAAGGTGGTACTTTTACACAATGGAATACTACTCAGTGAAAAAAACCAACATCTTGAAATATGCCGGTTAAATGGATGGAACTAGAAGAAACCATCTTGACTGAGGTAACTCAGACACAGAAAGAAAAACATGGTATGTACTCACTCATATATGGATAAGACATAGAGCAAACGATAACCAACCTACAATCCACAACCCCAGAGAAGCTAGAAAACAAGGAGGACCTTAAGAGGCATACATGGAGCCCCCCCAAAAGAGTAAAGGGACAAGATCTCCTAAGTAAATTGGTAGCATGGAGCAGGGGTGGTGAGAGAAAGAGGAGGGGAGAAAGGGAGGGGGGAGGAGAACATGAGGGATCAGGAAGGTCCAGTTGGGGGAGGAACAGAGGAGAGCAAGGGAAGAGTTACCTTAATAGAGGCAGCCATTATGGGCTTAAGGAGAGAAAGCCCACACTAGGGAAATCTCCAGGAAATCAACAAGGATGACCCCAACTAAGAATCTGAGCAATAGCGGAGAGGCTACCTTAAATACCCTTCCCTATAATGAGATTGATGGAACTAAACATTTCTTAAGCTAAATTTGAAAAACATGGAAAAGACTCAAGTAGGGATGTGTTTGGAAATTCTCAGGCGAGCATGGGGCTTCAACTCACCACTCAGCATCCATAGTCTAGGAAACATCACTGGGCCATACAGACCCATGGCCACCAGAGAGTAGTCTGCAAGCAGTAATGGATAGGCTCAAAGTTTTGGGTTTCTCCATGAAGCATGTGCCCCTCAGCTTCTATAGTGAAGTATGATGGGGATCAAGAAGTTGGAGTTGGAGGTGCATGTCAGAGGCCCATACACAAACTGATGGCCTTTATTAAGAGATTACAATAGTTTTCTAGTCAAAACTTAGGACCATGTAAAGCCAATCCAGGGGTGGGTGGTGAAGCTGGGCTCTGCCGTCAGAGTGCCAGCTGTGGGAACCAGCTAGCCCCATCCCCACCTAACTATGCTACCCATTTGCCTCCCACCTCTGTTCTGTTCCCCAGCCAACAGCAGGTAATCTCCTTGGTTGCAGGGGCGGTGGCTTTATGAGCTGTAGAACCTTCCTTTGTGAGGTATTCCATACCTGCTTTGTACACGGGGAGGCCCCTCCACTGTTTAATGTGTCAGCACTGAGCAAGAAGTATCTAACCTTTACTGCTCATCCTGATGAGGGAGGTGAGAAGGCAGAAGTAGACTTGGCCACGGGCACTGGGGTTCACCTCATAACTCCCTGGGCCAGGTTCTCACAGGTGGAGACTCAGCCCATCGGAGACCCCAGCTATCACGTAGCCTGTTTGATTTCTTGGAGCTGACAGGATTTCTGTCTGATGAACCTCTCCATGGGGCACACAATGAGATGTCCAAGACTGGGGAGGCTCCTCCTGAGAAGTGAGGGTACTGATGGGAAATAATGAGCGGGATGGGTGGATAACAGCAGTGTTGGACCGTTCAAAGAGGATTATGGGAGGCACCTAAGGCCAGATGTAAGGAAAGAATTCATGGCTGTGTGTAACACATTCAGGAAGCTCTGGAAATGTTGGCTGTAGCTGTGTTAGTAGTCATGGCATAGTGTCACACTGAAGCCTACAATGAAGGTGGAGAGTATGGAAGCAAGAGACCTCAGCCATGACAGTCAGAGATGGGAGAAGCTCCCAGCACCACAGAGGATCAATTATGCTCTTATGAAATGATTGAATGAAGGGACTGCAGTCCAGATTGGGGGGGTTGACTTTGAGGGAGGCAAGCTGGGGTATTGGCAGATATCACAGGCAGAATATGGACAGATGCCTGGCAGAGGATGGGCATGGTATGGGCATGGGTAGAAAGAGGAAGAGTCCAGAGGTCCTAAGAACTGTGTGATGCGCACATTTGATGTGGGGAGTAGTGTCCTGTGTGTGTTGAGCTGTATGTTGAGTGTGTGGTGTGTAGCTTTGTGTGGTATATGTGGTATAAGGATGTTCTCACACAGCAACGACACCAGAGTTGAACTTTGGGCCTGTTAGGAATGTGAGGACGCACTTGTTGGCTCACCACCAGGGCCCTTTCCTATAAATCAGTGTATTATGTGCTTTTCTCCTTGTCCCAGGCTCCTGTCTGGTGCTGTCCCTTCATAGCAGCATCTTTTATCATGGAGTATCGTGGGTGGTAAGGTCCTAGGGAAATGGATGAATTTGGGTTCTTATATATCTTGGGTTCTTAAGTATTTTCTGATATTTGTCACTTGAAAATTCAGGACAGAATTGTGTCAAGGACAGAGGTGACACTTTAGCAGATCTGGCCCGACCAGGGGGTCTATTCATGGGTAGCTGTGCCCACAGAAGTGGGATAGATATACCTAACCTTGTGACCACTCTTTTGGGGGCTGCAAACCTACCTGTCATCACAGGAACCTCCTGCCAAGCCTAGTCAGCCATACTGACCTGCCATAGAGATGTCAGCTTTTGATCCTGGCCC